TACCTGACTGGAATTGCTCGGATATTTTGAGCATTTCGAAAAATAGCAGCGAACGAAGTTGTAGTTCGGCGTATCATCTGGGACGATAAACAAGTAGAATCGATTCCTCACTAACCAAAAATAGCGACATTATTCGTCGAACATGTAATGCAGTTGGAAAGAAGCTTTTCTGTACTTAGAAAATGGTTAATAGCAACCACCATTATTTTTAGAGACAAAGTTAGCGGAATCGCTCTTTCTGAAGCGAAGACGTTTACTCATCTATGAATTTCAGCGAGTTTTTTGAGGAACAGCGCTACAATGAAGGTAGTATTCCATGATATATAATAGTAAAAGTAAGAATAATTTACTGTGGTGCTGACACTGATTTGCACAACATGTGGTCTGGCCGTTGTGGACTTTGTACCTTGACCTGAGAATTACGGGCGCCAAGTTTGCCGGTAGCAAAACCGTCTAGATTGTGACTAAAACCATGAAAAAGTGAAGAGGTACTAGCCTTAAGAACTACATATTCGTATTAGCTGGACATAGATTATGTTAATGAAAAGGGATGTATGTCGAGAGGCTAGTAGGAAAGAGGAAAGACTTCAGCTGTTTTGTTGTGGATTGGCATGTAAAATGCATATCTAGTATTTTTACGAGCTCCAAGCATCCGTTCAATAATTCATGTAGTCGGAGTCAATCAAACCCTACAGCTATTTTTTTGATATCCGTTTTGTAGACAAACCCATAGAATTTGCAGAATTAGGTAATGTTCCACAAGGTTCACACTTATTCCATGTTTGAAAAGTTATGAAGGATCTGAGCAAAAACTTCAGTCAGTGACAGGGAGAGATGAGGTCGGTAAGGGTCCCAGTACATGCAGATAGCTCCAGTCCAACTGTGAGGCGACCTCGAGCAAGAATTTATACTTCAGGAATTCTTCTTGCTTTCCGCTTCCAGAGGTGGGAAGATGCGAACACTGTATTCCCCGAAGATGATCAGCAGTCTTAAGAGACATACCTTACCTTAGAAAGAAAACCAATGTAGCTATAAGCTCTTGCACGACTCTAACCAAAGTCACATCAATTATCAGTTTTTCTCTTTACCGTAATGCTTCGCTTGATATTATGCGAGGTATAAAGTAGCAACCGTTTTCAGCTATCTCTCAAGATATGATTACACCTAAAAAGCCTTGAAAGCTCGTATAAAGCTAATTGTAGGCAGTGAAGCAGTGAGATCAGCATGACTTTTCGAGAGTATAAAAATTTTTATGGAAAGACTTACTGGTTCAGATAGCGTCGTGATGGTTCAAGTTCTTACCATAGTCGTAGAGTAATAGAGAGCGTTAATTGTTCGGATACATACGGTGCAACAAGGTGTAAGTAAGTTGAACCAGCAGAATGGTAATTCAAATAAGTAAGGAAATCAGACATGGAAAATGTCAACGTTTACATAGTTTGCACATTTTCTGAAACACCTTGTCCGTATCGTTCACGAAGTTGGGAATTACACAGGTGACTGAATTTTGTCGTGAAGAGGACAAGGGTAAACAAATTCGATAAAGCGTAAACGTAATGTGGTCTCAAATCTTTGCACTCCATAGGTTATCAAATCTCTTAGTTTTATTTTTTTTATCTTCTACGGATGACATGTGAACTTCTAGTCACAGATATCTGTCATGGTTTTGATCAGCAAACTTTATCTTATTTCCTTAGAGCACTTCACTATGCTAACGATAAGCATTGTTGTGAGATCCAAGCTTTTAATAGGGAAAGCAAGAATCTATAGGCGTCTTGAGCTTTATAAGTTGGTCGAGAGAAATCGTAAGCAAGGTATACGAATTATTTATTAGCTTATTGCACATCTCCAGCAACAATCTAAAGCTTATGGTTAGGTCATATCTTTGCAGTGGTCTCACAGTTTGAAGGGTACTATCCAATCGGCATTTTTTTCAGGGGCCACCACTGGCTCTTTTCGAGAGTTGACAAATTTGGGAAGGCGTGAAGAGACCGGTGATAATTCGTCCAAAGGTGTCGGTGCCCTTAACAGCAGAGTAAATATTTCTATCATTTGAAATATTATTGCTGGAACTGTAAGCAAAAGACATGAGATACTTACCTTTCTTCACTTTCATATTGTCGCACTCGTGGTTTTTCCTGAACTTCCTCATCTCTGCTTGTTAACTCCTCCTCCCTTCTACGACTTTTGCTCTTTTTAGGTGAAGGTGATGGGGTAGTGGTGATACCCATTAATCGTTGAAAGGACGGAGGCATAGTCATGGTAGGTAGGGTAGGCATGGCTATGGTAGCAAAGGTTGGCAGAGTTGGGAAGGACATCATGGGTGGGAAAGTAACAGTAGGAAAGTTCATTGGGACCATGTGCGGAATTGGGATTGCAGGTCCCGAAAGGGGATGAGGCATTTTCGGCGCTTGGGCTATGGCCTTTTTGGGCAGTTTGGGTGTATTCGGTGCTCGACGGACTCCCGTGGAAATTCTTCTGAAGCCTTTCGCGCGAGGGGCGCCGTTGTTCACTTTGTATACCGGTGCTCTATAATCGAACAAGTTCATATATTAACAAATTTCCAA